ACTTTTCATTTAAAGACCAAGAACTGACATGCTTTTTCCACACACACCCTATTTTCAAACCAGCGTTCCTGTCAGCTGTTCTTACGGATGACACTTACTGTAAAATAAGCACTTCCGGGGTGGTATGTCAGGTATCTCCCACACACGAAAAGCAAAAAGATGCTTTCAGTCTGAATTAATTGGATTTAAAGTAAGAGAAACGAGAACATAAAAAAGTGAAGTCTTTACAAGAGAAAGAGCACAGCGTGTGCATCTGAAGAAGTGGGTTTTTTACCCACAAAAGCTTATGCCCAAATAAATCTGTTAGTCTTTAAGGTGCCACCGGACTCTTTGTTGTTTTTGTGGATACAGACTAACACGGCTACGCCTCTGATACTTAGTACATCTTTGGCCACCTTGATTACATTGAACTCATTAGCACTATGAAAGTGATTTTTCCTCCCTTCTGTTGAGAATAGCCCACTTCCACCTTAATTGAATTGGCTTGTTAGCACTGATCCCCCACTTGGTAAGACAGCTCCCATCTTTTCATATGCTGTGTATTTATACCTGCTACTGTATCTTTCACTCCATGCATCTGATGAAGTGGGTTCTAGCCCACGAAAGCTTAGGTCCAAATAAATGTGTTAGTCTCTAAGGTGCCACAAGGACTCCTCGTTGTTTTTGTGACTACAGACTAACACGGCTATCACTCTGATACTTAGTGCAGTGTGTGTATCGTCTGTGCAACAGTCTGCACTGAGCTAAAGGGACATTACATTATCCTTAGAGAATTAAAGATGCAGGCCACAGAAACAGAGTCATACATTATTTGCTTAGATACACACGACCAATAACCTCTTCTAAAGCGTGCACATTTGTGCATGGTTTGGGATTGCAGCTAGTCCCAGAGACTGGGGCCTGCTGTACATTGACATTTTTCCATTGGTAAAGCCTTTCCTGGAAGGCTACGAATTAGCAAGTTTCATAGAATATCAGGGCTGGAAGGGACCTTAGGAGGTCATCTAGTCCACCCCCCTGCTCAAAGCAGGACCAATCCCCAACTGGTCCTCTCAAGGATTGAACTCACAACCCTGGGTTTAGCAGGCCAATGCTCAAACCACTTGCATTCATGCTTCTGCTGCTGCTCTGTAGCACATTCCTGAACAGGTCACTTGTTCTCTCTGTGCCTCAGTTTCCAATCTGTAGCGTGAGGATATTTATTATTTGAATGACGATATCTCCTAGAGGCCCCAGTTGAGAGCAAGGCCCTGTTGTGCCGAGTTCTGCTCAGACACAGAGCTAGGTTCTAAATCATTTAAAATCGAAATGATCTAACTATAAATGATTATTCCTCCCCTATTCCCAAGCTATCAGACTTTGCAATGGTCTTTGTTATCCAGGCAGTCAGGGCTCTAGGCTTGCCCGGCCGTCATTCCCCTTCACCTCCGTGAGAGGTCCATCCTCGCGCTGTCGGGGCAGGAGCATGTGTGGGAATTGACGAATATCTGCGAGGTGCTTGCAGCTCTTTGGATGGAAGGTGCTAGCGAGGGCAAAGTGTGATGATGGAAGCGTCTGGGCTGCTGAAACCCTTCGAAAAGTGGTTCGCAAACTTTTTCTGTTGGTGACCCCTTTCACACAGCCAGCCTCTGAGTATCCCCCCGACAGCTCGTGACCCCCCAGGTAATGACCTCGTGACCCCCTGAGAGGTCGCGACCCCAGTTTGAGAACCCCTGCCCTAGAAACAACAGTGCTAAAGGGAGTGGGGAAGCCAGAGAGGGAAGAGGCAGGTGCAGTCTGGCAAGGCCCGTGGAGATGACTAAAGCCAGGACTCAGTGAGTTAAAAGGCATTGCTGAAAAAGCGCTGAGAGCTCTCGACTTGGGCTCTGTTTCAGACTCTCAGGGGGAGCTCTGTGGTTTCCCTTCTGGGCTGTTTCCATCCCCTCTGTACTGACACCACTATAAATAGCCAGGCTAGCTAGTCATTCTTCCTCCTATGTTTCCAGCCCACACTCTGCTAAACCCAGCAGGGCTTTCCCCCTCTCTGCTCCATTTCCCTGGTGTCCCCGGTCCTGCCTCTGAGCCACAGGACGAGATGGTGCAACGAGGAGATGGGGCCAGACATCAGTGGGGCTTTGTTTGCGCCTGGGGCAGGCTTGCTTCCATTGGCACCCAGAGGAGAAATCCCTGATTTCCCAGTGGACCTGCTCCGTTCTATAGCGTAACCTCACTGCTGGCCTGACAGTAAAAAAGCCCATTGGCGAACCGATCACCAGCCTCTTTAGAACGGCCCTTAACATCTTTGAGGGCTGTTATCAGGTCCCCCTCAGCCTTCTCCTCTCCAGACTAAACATGGCCAGTTTATTTAACCTTTCTTCATCGGCCAGGTTCTCTGACCCTTTGATCCTTTTTATTGCTCTCAGGGATTCTCTCCCATTTGTTCACATCTTTCCTAAAGCGCGGTACCCAGAACTGGACAGAGGGCTCCAGCAGAGGCCTGCCCAGTGCCGAGTAGAGCGGAACAATTGCCTTCCATTAATACACCCTGTTAGGATATAGATATTCAGGCCTGTTTGTAAAGGCCTATACTTTAAGAATTTAGGTATATTCTTATCACTTAGCTAGTTATAGAGGTATAAAAGAAAGAATCAAAATCACCATCTGTCTGTGTAAGGGCCTTCTCTCACTGTGACAGTCTGAGGCCTGGTTCTTAGGCTAAGCAGCAAAGGCAGCCATAAGTTGGAAAGTGTAGGGTCACATCCTCACATCCCAAACTAGTCACATGGAAATCAGGCAATCTGGGGCTCTTAGGAAGGTGATCCGATCTAACACCTCCAGAGAAAGGGAAAAGCTTTGAAGATGTAAAAGGAAATTTAGTTTGATAGTTTTCTGTCTGGCAAGAACTCATTTATCAATAGCTGGGATGTGAAATCCTCACTTCTGTATTGTTTTGTATGTTTATTTGCATGGTCTCTGTCTGGTTCTGTGACTGTTTCTGTCTGCTGTATAATTAATTTTGCTAGGTGTAAACTAATTAAGGTGGTGGGATATAATTGGTTAGCTAATCATGTTACAATATGTTAGGATTGGTTAGGTAAATTTCAGTAAAATGATTGGTTAAGGTATAGCTAAGCAGAACTCAAGTTTTACTAAAAGAACAGGTTTCAGAGTAACAGCCGTGTTAGTCTGTATCCACAAAAAGAAGAACAGGAGTACTTGTGGCACCTTAGAGACTAACAAATTTATTAGAGCATAAGCTTTCGTGGACTACAGCCCACTTCTTCGGATGCATATGGGTTTAGACCCCATTGGGAGTTGGGCATCTGAGTGCTAAAGACAAGCACTCTACTGTGAGCTGTTTTCAGGTAAACTTGCAGCTTTGGGACAAGTGATTCAGACCCTGGATCTGTGTCTGGAGCCAAACAGGAGTGTCTGGCTCAGCAAGACAGGGTGCTGGAGTCCTGAGCTGGCAGGGAAAACAGAAGCAGGGGTAGTCTTTGCACATCGGGTGGCAGCTCCCAAGGGGGTTTCTGTGATCCAACCCGTCACAGTGGCATCCGAAGAAGTGGGCTGTAGTCCACGAAAGCTTATGCTCTAATAAATTTGTTAGTCTCTAAGGTGCCACAAGTACTCCTGTTCTTTTTTTTAAAAGAACAGGAGTACTACTCTGAAACCTATCAAGTTTTACTATATAGTCTGCAGTCAACCAGGAAGTGGGGGGGGGGAATGGGAACAGGGAGTGGGGATGGGGGGATTGGAATCATGTTTCGCTAAGGGGGGGGGGAATGGGAACAGGGACACAGGCAAGGCTCTGTGGCGTCAGAGCTGGGAAGGGGGACACTGAGGAAGGAAACTGGAATCATGCTTGCTGGAAGTTCACCCCCATAAACATCGAATTGTTTGTACCTTCGGACTTCGGGTATTGTTGCTCTCTGTTCATGCAAGAAGGACCAGGGAAGTGAGAGGGTGAAGGGATAAGCCCCCTAACACACCCCAGAATGACATTTGCCTGTTTCATAACAGCATCGCACGGTTGACTCCTACCCACTAGAATCTCCAGATCTGTTTCACAGTACTGAGGTCTACCCAGTTCTTCCCCATTTTGTATTTTAGTACAATGCTATGGCCCAGGACTTTCGGCTAATTCCAGCTGGGTATTAGAGCAGTGGATCTCAGCCAGGGGTACATGTGCCCCGGGGGTACGCAGAGCTCTTCCAGGGGTACATCAGTTCATCTAGATATTTGCCTAGTTTTACAACAGATTACAGAAAAAGCACTAGCAAAGTCAGTGCAAACTAAAATTTCATACAATGACTTGTTTCTACAGCTTTCTATACTAACCACTGCAATGTAAGTACCATATTGATAGTCCAGCTGACTTATTTTAGAAGTATAGGGTAAGAATGAGAAAGTTGGCAATTGGTCAGTACTAATGTGGCTGTGACACTTTTGTACTTTTATGTCTGATTTTGTAAGCAAGTCGTCTTTAAATGAGGCGAAGCTTGGGGGTCCACCAGACCAATGAGACTCCTGAAAGGGGTACAACAGTCTGGGCAGGGTGAGAGCCACTGGCTTAGAGGGACTGCATTTGGCAGAAGTTCCCTTTTAACCTGACTGCTACAGACGTCCGGGGCTTGAGTCTTTTCCTGCTAACTCTGGTGTAAATCAGGAGTAACTTCACTGCAGTGGGGATAAAACTCTTTGTGCCTACTGACTTCAGCGGCGTTCCTGCTGGCTTTCCCCCGGTGTAACTGAGATCAGGATCAGGCCCGATCGACAAGTAATAGGTCTAGCCCAGATCCTGTTCCACGTTCGAGGGCAGGGCCTGGGCTGGTGCAAGTCGTCATAGCTGCTCTGCCTGCAGGGTGATGGTGACAATTTCTGCTGGCCGAGGATCCTTGTTTCGCTTTGCTCCTTGCTAGCTCGTGGCCAATAGCGGTTTCCCTTTCGCCGGTGTTTTGGAGCACGGCCAGCCCACTCTCTAGTCTAGTCAGGCAGGGAATCAGCAGTTCACTTTCAATTTCTGGGAGCGTTCCTCATGTTTGTTCCCAGGCCAGGATATTGTGTCATGTCTGTTTCTAGTGGAGGGCTCTCCCCAGCATCTGCTCTGGGGAGTTTCCCTCTCCGCTCCCTGAACGGTAAGAATTCCCCTTGCTCAACCAGCTCTCCACTCTGCAGCCAGCCCACACCACCGTGCAATTGGGTTTGGGCTCTCATGCAAACTGGGCGCCAAAGAGCAGCGTGCTGTGCCCAGAAACCATCTGTAACAGGGCGACTTACCCCACCCCGGCCTGGAGAACCCGAGGCTAAGCCAAGCTGCCCCACCTGGGAGAAATCAGCTATGGCTGCAGAGACTCCAGGGAGCACAAGACTCCGGTGGGGCCCTGAGTTAGCAAGGACAAAAGGTCAGAGCAGGGAAGGAAGCTGTAGGGAAGAGGGGGAGGAAGAAACGCTCTCCAGGCAGGAAGGAGTGGGAGGGACTAGGAGACTCCCTAGGGGGAACTTGAGAAGAGAAGTAGGAAGTGGCCCAGGGAAAACCATGGCACAGGTAAAGGAGCAGACCTGGCTTGTTAGGTGCAGGGTCCTGGGCTGGAACCCAGAGCAGAGGGGGGTTCCGGACTGGCCCACAGGCAGGGTGTCCAAGCCCCTTGCCCAGGTCATAGAGCCCAGGAAGGGCGCACCAGGCAGAGCTGAAACGTGGCTGAGGAAGAAAGCCGGGGACAGGATTTTTGTTTCTGGTTTGTGGACTTCTAGTGGGGGCCAATGGGGTCTGTGGAAGGGGTGGAGAAAAGACAGTGACCCAGCTTGGGGGTCAAGTTACTAGAGTGATCAGCAGGGGCTAGCCCAGGGAGAGAGCAGCAACGCCAGGACTGGGCACCTAGCAGTGAGTGACCTCTGTTACTGTCCTTTCTCTCTCTTCCAGCTCTCCTGCGTGCTCAGTGTTGGTCTCCGTGCACCTGATGCTAACTGCCCGGCCTTGTCTGGGCAAATCAGACCCACCCCAGGGCAAGCCGTTCACCTTCTTCATAAGCAAGTTTTTGAGGTCAGGCCAAACCTCTGTTATTGCTCTAATTTTCCATATCTTTCATCTTCTCTGCATTAACGAGCTATGTGGTAGGAGTGGGTTTCTCACTCTGCTGGAGCAGGGCCTGACAGCTCAGAGGTGAGATGGCTATAAACAGCCTGCTGGGTTTACATCCTCCCGTCCCCCAGTCCTCTCATTTATTTATTCCACTCCTGCTCATTTATTTTCAGCATCTTAATAGAACTGGGGAACCACAGACAGAAGGTTTCATACTTCCCCCTCCTGCACCTCAGCCTCTTGCGTGATGACCAGCTGGAGAGAAGTGAATAATTCTTTCCACAGCGAGATGATTATTGTGTTTTACACAAATGACCCCACTGAGAGACACAGTCCCTGCTGTGAAGGGCAAACAGTCTAAATAGATAAGGGTAATGAGGAAACTGAGGCATAGACATGCCCAAGGTTACCCAGTAGGAACTAGAACCCGGGTCTCCTGATGCCGAGCCCACTGTCCACTCAACCATGCTGTCGCTCTGTGCTAGGTGACTTCCTAGCACTTATTTGATACTCATATTTATTCAGCCAATTTTTGGAGCCTTTTTTTTTTTACCCTGTGGGTTGGCCCCACATAATTTTCTGTGAATGTTTGCGACATGAGCTGTGTTGCTTAGCTTTTTCCAAATGACAAGTGGGTTCCCAACCTCAGACACCTTAGATGGGGCTTTTTTTCAGCAAGCGGTGAGCTCCCGCCTTTCGAAAATCCGGCTCCCTTTTGAAGTGACTCAAACTGGGCTCCCTCCCCCCCAAAAAACAAAACAAATGGCGGCACCCAGAGTCGCCGATCAGTCTGGAAAATCTTGGGGACAATGACTAGACTGTGGCTGCCTACCTTACACCCGAGCCGTGACCCCGTTTAGAATATAGACAAGGAAGAGGTAGAAATAGCTTCCACTCCAAAATCAAGGTCTTTGGCTAGGCACAAACTTGCCCCAGTTTCCAAATTGCGGTTTGGATGATGCCTATCACAGACGGGGAGCCTATCTCCGGATGACAGACTACTTAGACTACTTCGGGGCAGCTACCCAAAGGGGAGGGTGCTAAGGGAGTAAACGCAGTGCAGATAGAGAAAGGTGTATCTCTGACTCAAGGTTACCATGACTGTAAAAGCTCAAGGTGTCCAAGGAAATAGAAGGAGGGAATGCTTTGGGGGAGTTACAGTAGGGGAGGTCTAGGTTGGATATTAGGAAACACTATTTCACTAGGAGGGTGGAATGGATTACCTAGGGAGGTGGTGGAATCTCCTTCCTTAGAGGTTTTTAAGGCCCAGCTTGACAAAGCCCTGGCTGGGATGGTTTAGTTGGGGTTGGTCCTGCTTTGAGCAGGGGGTTGGACTAGATACCTCCTGCGGTCCCTTCCAACCCTGAGATTCTATGATTCTTTCATTGCCCAGATAATAGAGAGGAATTCGAAACTGGCATTACAGAAACCTGGCGGGAGGATTCACATGGACTCTATTTAGGAAAGACGGAGTGGGAAGAAAGACAGGGGAGGAGTAGTCTACATTACTACCATCATCTGCTTTTCTGTTTAGCAATGCAGGCTGTGGAATGCAGATGGACCACAGCTGTTGGCAAGAGAAAGGGTGGAAGTGTCTGTTACAGACCGTCCAATCAGACTAGCGAACAGGGCAAACAGCTCTTAATCATGGGCAGCGCATCGCATAGGCTGGGGAAGGCTGGGCCTCCCCAAACAGCCGGGCATGGCCCCATCCATGCTCCTCCCCGAACCCCTGCTTGCCCTTGACCCCAGCCCAGGCAGGCTGCTTCTCTTCAGGGACTGGGGCTAGGGCGGCCAGGACTTGGGGTGGTTGGGGCTGCCCAGCGCTGGGGGACCCAGGTGGGGCTGTGCCACCTGGCGTTCGGGGGGGATAGGGACTGGCAGCTGCAGGGAAGGGGGGCTCTGGCGGGGGAAGAGGGGCGGGTCCTGAGGTGGGGGGCAGGGCTGGCGGGGGTTAGCCTCACCCAGCCAGCGGTTCACCCGCTGCCCATGCTCTTAATGTCTATCGGAAATGTGCAGGAAGCAAAACCATTATTATGCTGGAGGTTTCATGCTGCCACTAGTAAAATGTCTTGGAGAATCAGAAAATTACCATCAATAATTTCTGACCACAAGAAGTATTACACCATAGCTGGGGCAAGTCTCTGAAACCTTGTTGTGACACAGATAAAGTAATGACAGAACAAGGAGCAATGGTCTCAAATTGCAGTGGGGGAGGTCCAGGTTGGATATTAGGAAACACTATTTCACTAGGAGGGTGGTGAAGCACTGGAATGGGTTACCTAGGGAGGTGGTGGAATCTCCATCCTTAGAGGTTTTAAGGCCCGGCTTGACAAAGCCCTGGCTGGGATGATTTAGTTGGGAATTGGTCCTGCTTTGAGCAGGGGGTTGGACTAGATGACCTCCTGAGGTCTCTTCCAACCCTGAGATTCTATTATTCTAATGACTGAATTAAATATTAGTAATTGCCTGTTCTAGGTACAAGTGATCGTGACCTAATTACACTGGCTATGTACAATCAGAATACAGTCCTGAAGCTGAAAATGATCTGGAGCAAACTTGAGAGGGAGGAAATATTTAAACAAAACAAGGTGAATGAGCATCTAGTAAAGTACTATCAAACAACCCACAAATCTGCAATTTCGAAAGACTGCCCGTTAAACCATCCTGATTAAGAAAGAAAGTGAAAGTAGCAATTACATATATGCACAAATGGAAGTTTTTTTAGTAATGGTTATAAATTAGCTGTCATGAAATGAAGACAAGCTAAAGGTATCTGTGAAAAATCTATGGCCAGTAGAGTTAAGGACAATAAGAAGGAATTTTTAAATACACCAGGAACAAAAGAGAACCTAGCAGTGGTATCCGTCTGCTAAATATAGATCATTAAGTTGTCAGTAATGATGCAGAAAAGGTAAAGGGAATGACACGTAACTATAGGCTGATTAGCTTGACATTGATCCAGGCGGAAAATAAGGAATGGCTGAGATGGGTAGCAATCAGTAAGTAACGTAAGGATGGCAGTGTAATTACACCAATTAACATTATTTTTTTATGGGAAATAGGTCTTGTCAAACAAACTATATATTGTTTTTTGATGAGGTTTATAAGTTTGGCTGATTAACATAATTGTGTTGGCATAATAGACTTAGACTTCAGTAAGGCATTTGATTTAGTATTGCACAACAATCTGATTAAAAAAAAATGATCACCCAACAAGATCAGTTTAGCACATTAAAAACTGGTTAACTAATAAGAGCACAAAAAATAATTTTAAATAGGGAATCATTACGGATGTATCCATTGGGGACCCACAGGTAGGGTTATCATATCTATTAAAAAAAGAGGACCCTCCACGGGCCCTGGCCCCACCCATTTCCCCACCCCACCCCAGCCCTGCCCCTTCCCCGCCCTAACTCCCCCTCCTCCCTCCCACTCCCAGCCCCGGGGAAAGGGCTGCCCGAGCGCTACCGGCTTCGGGCAGCCCCCTTGCCTCTGGACCCTGCGCCGCCGGAGCCCGGGAGGGGAAGTGCCCGGCTGGCGGCTGGGGTCCGGAGGCAAGGGGGCTGCCTGAAGCCCATAGCGCTCGGGCAGCTCGGCTCTGAAACAGAGCCGAAGAGTCAGGGGAGGAGCAGAGCCGCCATTTTCCCTGACATGTTCGGCTTTTTGGCAATTCCCCCCGGACGGGGGTTTGAGTGCCGAAAAGCCGGACATGTCCGGGAAAAAGAGGACGTATGGTAACCCTACCCACAGGGATATGATTTGGGCCCAATGCTATTCAGTATCTTCACCAGTGATCTGGAAAAACGTATGCAATCTTTGCTTGTAAAGTTTGCAGATGAGACAAAAATTGGTGGAGTGATAAAGAATAAGGACTGGTTAATTCCACAGAGTGATGTGAGTCAGATGTTAAGCTTGGTTCATTTGAACTACATGTGTCTTAATACAGCTAAAACAAGGCCAATGTTTCTGATCAACTTAAGCTAAATCAAAATAAGCCACTTGTAAACTCCAGAAGAGGCTGGAGAGGCCTCTGTCTTGGATGTTCAGACACGACGAATCCTGGCGCTTGGCAGGGGTTAGACTAGATGGTTCTAACCCTATGGTTCTATGATTCTATGAAACTGAAGTAAGAGTGTCCACACAAATGTGCAGCAATTTAATCACATCAGTTTGGCACTGGCAGAACTAAAGGTGTTAGTCTCCAGGTAGACAAGTCCTAGTTTCCGGACAAAAATATTATTGGCTATTCCAAAAATATCTAGCAGGAATGAGAACCAATGTGCAAAGATTTCCAGTGGCTGCTAAGATTGCGCTGTAGAAATGAGAGGCTCATGCAGACATGGGTCTCCGAATGAGGCTCTGTAGAAGAGCATTTAATCTTGAGCCTTCGTGGGGAGTCGTGAGGATGAAATGAAATCAGACGGCAGAGAGCGAAGAAGGCAATGGAGCATGAGACAGCTTGGTCCAGGGGACGTTCCAGCAGTTAGTCTGGCAAATGCATTTTCCAGCTTGCCCTCTCTAGCCATCCCCGGTGGTTACTTAGGATTGTTAGTTACTGCTCATTGCTCACTTGCTCGACCTCAGAATGACTTTCCTGGGCCCTTCACTGCCCCAGTGGAGAGATGCAAGAGGCCAAAGTCTCTGCTACTGTGACTTGGCACGGCTCCATTGACTGCACCCGAGCATTGCCAGCTTACACCAGCAGAGATTTGGCCCAAGCTTTTCCTGTCTCGGGGGGAGTCTCCGGGACCTGGAGCTCAGGATACTTACTTAGAAAACACCATGTGAAAAATAGTCCCTTGGCCTTGATTTCTCCCCCTCCCCTCCCGGCACTCTAAGACCCCCGGGCGCTGGGACTCTGTCTGTTTGCCTAGAAGGGAGCGTTGTGCTTGAGGTCGCCCTTGGCCACTTTGTGCTGCACTTGTAAGGGGACTGTTGGCCCCTTACTAAAACTCAGAGGGGTTTTTGGTGGCTAGCTCCCAGTACCAAAAGGGGAAGGGTCAATGGGAAATCAGGACCCTGAGACTGACAGTCCCCAGGGATAATGGGGAGAGGCCAACACCTGATTGACGGGGGACCAGGCTAATCAGGGAGTCAGGAGGCTGGGGGGGTCCCATCCTCCATGTGAATTGCCTGGGTCAGACAGAGTGGGGCCGAGCTAAGGAGAGAGCAGGGGCCCGAGCTGAGCTGGGGAGCAGGGCCGTGCCAGCCGGAGGGGCCAGAGACGCAGCCCAGGGAGCAGGTCAGAGTTGGGACCAGTCTCAGAAGCAGCCGGCAGAGCAGACTGGCGGTGGGGGCAGAACTGCAGCCACAGAGCCGGGGGCCAGAAACGCAGCCCAGGGAGCTGGAGGCAGAGCAGCAGCAGCAGCCGTGCTGAGGCCGAGTGGAGCTGGGGCTGGAGCTGGGGCTGGAGCCGTCCGGAGCTGGGTGCAGTGAGCGGCTGGGGAGAGCGAGGAGGCCCTGGTGCCGTGGGCCCAGCACAGGGAGACGCCTCAGCCAAGAGGGTCTGCAGGCCAGACTTGGGGGGGATCGTAACCCTGACAGGGCGGGGGCGACGCTGGGAAGAAGGGTCCTGCCACCTAGAGCCTGAGAGCGTGTGGCCACCGCCCGAGCAAGTGTCCAACCTGCAGCGTCTCTGCAGCACAGCCGGGGCCTGGGCAGGGGCCTGGGCTGGGTGAGGGACAGGCTGTGACCTGCCCGGACGTTCCAGAGACGCCGGCCGTGCCACAGAGCGGGGTGACGGGTTTTCCTTTCACCGTTCTGAGTTTTTCCTTATTTTTAAAATTGATGGCTGTTTAATACATTGTATTTGCTTTGAATTGTATGTAATGATCAGTGGGTTAGGAAAGCATCCAGTGCAGAGAGAGCACCCCGAAGTGGGAAGTATCAGGGGGTAGCCGTGTTAGTCTGTATCTACAAAAACAACAAGGAGTCTGGTGGCACCTTGAAGACTAACAGATTTATTTGGGCATAAGCTTTCGTGAGTAAAAACCTCACTTCTTCGGATGCACTCCGAAGAAGTGAGGTTTTTACTCACGAAAGCTTATGCCCAAATAAATCTGTTAGTCTTTAAGGTGCCCCCAGACTCCTTGTTGTCCCCGAAGTGGGGACACCCTCGCCCCTGCCCTAAGTGACCATGACAAGGATGGGGGTCGAACCCCCCAGGAATCCAGGAAAGTTCCCCACAACAGCGGGACCATTCCCCCGCTTACACACTGACCAACTCTGAGAGCTTTTGCCAAGGGATGTTGTGAAGGCTGAGAATATAACAGGGTTCAAAAAAGAACTAGATAAGTTCCTGGAGGATAGGTCCATCAATGGCTATTAGCCAGGATGGGCAGGGATGTGTCCCTAGCCCCTGTTTGCCAGAAGCTGGGAATGGGCGACAGGTGATGGATCACTTGATGATTCCCTGTTCTGTTCATTCCCTCTGTAGCACCTGGCATTGGCCACTGTCGGCAGACAGGATACTGGGCTAGATGGACCTTTGGTCTGACCAGTATGGCCGTTCTTATGTTCTTAAGGAGTGGCTCTTCTGTTTTAAGGTATGCTCAATGCAGGACCTGTGGTGATACATGCAGTGATTACTTCATATCCTTCCCCCTCAGCGTCCCTCCTGCTGCTGTGTTGAAAGTGACCTCAGCTCGCTGCGAGGACTATTCTTGTATATCCTGAGGTGAGGCGGAGCTGCTGACACTCCTTCACCACAGTGACCGGTGACATGCAGCTGGTGTCATGGAACAAGCCGGAAACCTCACTGCTCCCCTATAAAAACAGGGGCTTGTCCCGGGGGTCGGTATCAGAGGTTAGAAAGAGTCTCTGCTCTGCTCCTGTGGTTAATCCCTCACCCGACAGCAACATGAAGGTCTCCGTGGCTGCCCTCGCCGTTCTCCTCATCGCTGCCTTCTGCTCGCAGGCTTCCTGTGCCCCACGTGAGTCCAGCGTCTCTCTGTCCTTGCAGGGTCTTCTTCTGAAAGGTGGCAATGTTGCAGCTCAGCCTTTAAAGGTCACCTGTCAGGATTTAATACAACAGGGCTTTATGGCCTCTTCTGCTTTTTGGGATAGAGGGAAGCCATCTGGAAGGGCTGCTTTTAAGTTTCTCCTTCTTGCTGGTTTTTACCTTAGAAATATTGGGATTATCAAGTCAGATCGTCCCAGGTTTCGCTGGAGGGCTTTGAGAGGGCGCCTGGAGAAGATGTCTGTGAGCTCTCACCTTAATAAAGGGATGGGGCGAATGGGTGTTGAATCTTTACCAAAGATGTCCTTTGTCACTAGTGTTCATTAGGTGTTGGGGCTAAAGGGAGGTTAATGAAAATAAACCCAGACCTGTAAAGGCTCTGGCCAGGACCCCTTCCCCTCTCACTTGCTCGCAATTCAGTGTGATGCTGTCACTTCCTCACAGAGATAATCAGAGCCCGTCGCTGCGCGTCGAATGGAAACAAATCCGACGAGGTCTCCAGACTCGTTAAGGAGGAAAAGCCTCAGATTGTTAGCGCAGGGGGCGACTGTCACTGTCCAGGCCGTGCCTCCTGGAGGAATAACTGACACTCACGTCCCACTTTTCAATCTCTTTCAGACGGTTCTGACACGACCGTGTGCTGCTTCAGCTACACCACCCGGAAGCTGCCCAAGAGCCACCTGAAGGAGTATTTCTACACCAGTGGAAAGTGCTCTCAGCCAGCTGTAGTGTAAGTACTGGGGGAGGTCTGGGCAGAGATCTCTGTCAGCCTTTACTCTCTCCACAATCCCCTCGGGCTGTGCTAGGTTAGGGACTTGTCTACATGGGCCAATTCTACTAGTATAAGCAATGATGTGAATTTAAACCACTGTAATTATCCCAGTATAACTCCCTGTGTGGACGCTCTTATTCTGGTGTAAGAGGCTTTTTCAATGTAGATTATGTTGCTTGGGAAGGGGTTTAAGATAAACTGGAAAAGGGCCACTCTGATGCTGGGGTAGGAGTATCCACATGGGGAGCGGTGGTTATACTAGGATAACTATATGGGTCTAACTGGTAAAGCCTTCCCGTGTAGACAAACCCTAGGAAAACTAGCTAATGTGATATGTTTTAAACACCATTTCGCACCTAGTGTAGACAAAGGCAACCGTGTTTAATGTCAGTGGTTTCTGGGGCCACTTACATTGCTTTGGAGTGGATTAAGGCTATGTCTACACTGCAGCCTAGGTCGGCAAAATGTACGTCACGCAGGGGTGTGAATATTCCACTCCTCTAGTGACATACGTTACACCGACATAAGCGCT